CCCATGGGGTCCCAGCGGACCCTGATGCTCTTCCTCTTTCACTTGCACCCATGCAATTCACTTGCATCAACCAGAAGACTAAAACTCGCCTCCTTAAGTGAGAAACCACAAACGGAACAAGGAGAACCACACGACACTAGCCCAGGACCCGGAAGTACCCCGAACTCCGAAGACACCCCGGGCCCCACCTACCAGAAGGGCAGCAGCCCTTTTTGCGCACACCAAGCCAAAAGCCTTCGCAGGTACACTTCCTCGATTTGTGCGTGTTCTGGTTTCACACAGATTAAAAATCCAATTCTATCTCAGACTGCTTCGGCATGCTCTTCGATAATGGGGCCTTTAGCCCGCTTTCACGAAGGGAAGCCTGATGCGATTGAAGATCGTACCCCACCAGTCGTCAGGGCCCATAGGCTTAGTGAGGATATCGGCTAACTGGAAGCTAGTGGGGACCCAGAAGAGCGGGATTCGGTCTTCAATGCGCTCTAGAGAAAACGTCTGTCTCAAGGCAGCAAGGTCTATGGCTAGCCGTTTATCGGAAGGAATCCTAGGGATCCCCTCACGGTGGAGGTGGTCATACAAAGACTTGCAATCGGTGATACATCGGAATTGTCCACCTGCCAGCTGTTCCACTCTTTTGAGCTCGCCGCTCAGAATGGTCATCACGAAAGACCTCACATACTGCCCCAACTCGACGGCTTCAGAGCATGCAGTCGTCTCGGCACCAAAAGTAGATCTACACACCCTTGGATTGGCAGAAGATTTCCAGTCCAAAATGCAACCAGTGCCGCCCCCTTGAGCGACTTGATCTTGATCCGATAGAACAATCAAGATACCCATCTGGCTTGCAACACGAGAATTGGCTCTTTTAGCTTTTCTGTCTTTGTGTTGAAACGGTCCGTCGTTCATCACACCAGCCGAATGCTCTTCTGGAGTAAGAATAAATTCATCCTCACCCTCTAAGAGCGCGTTGGCCCAGGCCGAATCATGATACACCAAGAATTCAAGCTTTGACAGATCCAATGGCCTCAACCAGATTCCTTTCTGCCGGAACTCCCAAGCTCTCTTTGCAATCTTGTTCGTGAACTTAATATCTTCAACAGTCGGAGCTTTCTGACATTGTTGTGCCAGGGATACAGAGCATTGGAGGTCAGGACGAGATTGGCTACTGAGCCATGATAAAGCACCTATCAACGACTGATTGTCAATGCGCTGTTCTTCAGTTGCTGGATCTAGATCGACCTGACCCTTCTCAATCGGGATCTCGAACAGTCGCGAGCTTGCGTAAGCCTCTTGGTTAACAAGCACCCCCTCATCAGACACATGTATGTGTGAGCCAATGTACTCAAACGTGTCAATCTCCCAATCGTCGACTGGGAACGTCTTCGAGAGGCACTCCCTCACTTGACTGGACAACCTTCTAGGACCGACAACCAACAGATCATCCACATGTACCCCGACGTACACTCGAGGGGTCTTGTCGGAAGCTGAGACCAACTGAAACAAGCATGGGTCAAGTGGGCATTGCTCGAAAAAGCATTCTTCATCATCAATGCACAATCGGATGTTGAGCAGATCCCGTCTGAGGCGCTTCCACCACTTTCTAGGGCTATCCGGTAACCCGAACACCCCCTTTGTGATCCGAAGGAGTTGTCTAGGGTCAAGACCTTTAAGCCCGGTCCTCGGTTGTCGGAGATAAAGAACACGGTCCATATCATCTCCATTCAAGAAGGCGGCAGTGATGTCACCTGCTGCTGCCTCCCAGTCGTCGGTCTTCCGTCGGCTGGCCAGGACCTGGAGCAACGTCAGGATGGTTAGGCGATTGATTGTCGGCGCATCTGTCTCAAGGTACTTCACATCTGGGTCCTTGTGTCCTGAAACCACTAATCTCGCTTTGTGTTTCCAGGGAGTTGATGGATCGAGCTTCCTGCGGGACCAGTGCTTATCGCGGTATGCAAAACGAGAAGTCAGGATTCTGGACGGGTCAGTGTTGGCAAGCACTTCCGCGGATTCTTCAACACTGATAGGAGCGAGGGCCTTGTGGTCCAGATGTTCTTGAAACTGCTTATCTTCTGCACGTCTGAAAGCATCATGCTCCTCAGCAGGAATGAGTTTCCATGGCAACTCCTTCTCTAGGGCCTTCTCAAGCGCACGATCAGTTTGGCACCTCTTCATCATGTGAACGGAGTGAACATAAGGTTCTGAAGCCTTGTGGCGAACTCGTCGCCGAACTGGTCCGGGTACACTGGGTGCGGTTTGATTTTCTTCTCCTAGCAACTCCGGAAACGGTTCACCTTCAAGCTCTAGAGAGAAATCCATGTCCTCGACCATATCTTCATCAGGTACAGGAAGAAGTTCCTGTCCAGGATCAACGCCATCTGGTTCACCGGCGGGTTCAGAAGGTTCGTAATCCTCGGATGGTGCGTAGGTGTCGGGATCATTGGGGTCGAGGTTGAGTAGTTTCTCCAATTCGTCGCGAGCAACTTTTGTAGTCAGTATATCACCGACCTCCTCGGGAGTCGAGGGTCTCATATGTTCCTCCGCGACAAGATGGCAACGACCGCCGAAAGAAATCCACCAGTTCCCCCCTTCTGATCCTATGATGGTTCCAGGTCCTCGCCAGGAGCCGCGTTTGGTGGCCACTTTCTCAATGCGGTAGAAACTCACGAGCTCACCTACGGCATAGCCCCCTCTCTTGATGCGGCTGCGTTGCATCAACGCCTTTCTGAACTTGGAATCGGTCTGACTACGAAAGAAAGCCATCTTAGCAGCCGTTCTAATGCTGACCTCCCGTTGCCGTCGTCTGTCTGCAGAAAGAACTTCAATGAACCGGTCCTCGTCATTTCCGCCACAGAGTTCTTCGGGCGATCGTGGGTCACGTCCGAAAACAGCCTGAGTTGGCGAAAAACCGTGTCGTCGCCTAAGTTCATTTTTGGCCGAATTCACCGCCTGCACTGCCAAGTACATGTCTTCACTGGTGATGGATTTCTCATCGATCACACGACGAAGTATCTCCTGGTACCACAATCCGTGTCTCTCAACTACCCCCTGCTGCCAGTGCGCTTGTCCTGCAGAGCTCCGGAGATTGCTTCCGAAGAATTCCGCATACTTCGTGATGCCACCCTGCAAGCCGGTTTCTAAGTCAGCCGAGATTGTTCCTGGTGCCCCGAAGGTGTTACCCCACAGCTGGGTGAAGCTCCGACAGAACGCTTCAGCAGAATGGCCATCAATCTCACAGACCAAGTGGAAGGTAGTAGCATGGTCTATGACAGAGAGGAATTCATGTCGAACCCGGTTCGCATCAAAGGCATGGAACACGTCGACACTGACCAACTGGTTCATGTCAAGGAGCGATGGTAGGGTTGCTGGTCTCGCCACTTGTGTAGATTGGTTCCTTGCACAAACTTCACATCGCATCTTCTTACAGGCTTTCAACACCCCTTCGTCTGCCCCGGCATAGCGCAAGTGTCTCAACATGTCCACGATACGAGGGTGCCCGAGGTTCTGATGTAATCGAGTAAGAGCCGACTGAACATGTTTGGGGACCTCGCTGTCAAAGTGGATTGCTGATGCTCCCTCATAATCAACAGGACCACGTCTACTGTGTGATGCGGCAAAACTCTCTCTGATCCCTTCTGTTTGTTCATCCCGGGGGCAATGTAGTCCAGGAACATGACCGAGGCGGAGTACACGAAGTTCGCCAGTTTCCTCGCAAGAATGTTCATGTTGGCCTAAAAGATCACCTAGAGCTCGAGAGTCCCAGATCGGATCATAAAAGAGTCCTCGCAAAACAACAGAACCGCCGCGACTGAGTTGATAGTTGATTGTTTGTATAACGCGATCTCCATGTTGGATGTATCCCGCATCACCTTGGAAACAAACTACATTGGGTTTGAGAGTCTCAATGGTATTGTGGATGTTGATCTTGAGGTCACTGTCGAAATACTCTGTCCATGAAATCGGCTCGACTACATGAGCCCCAGCCTCGATCATCTGAAGAGTGACATCCGTGCCACCAATCTCGAAGACGCAGGCTTGTTCGGCAGGCTTGCCTGAGGGCATGTATTCGGTCATGAAAGAAGATGCTGCTGCGAGACCAAGTGTGAGAAGTGCGCTTGCCCTCTGTGCCCCTTTCCACAATGCCTTCCTGATGCTCTTCTTGGGACGATTTTGTACTTCTCGATCAGCTGGCTCTGATCCTTCATATTTCCCGAGTGGAAAACCGAACGTCCTAAGTACATCCCTCTCGGTCCTCGTGAGCTCTTGGACTCCCCGTGTAACGTAGGCAACAATCGAAAAACGATCACCTTCCCATGCTTCGACTGCGTGCTTCGTCTTTGGATTGAAGCTGATCATGCGCTCACATGTGTCGATAACTTCACCCTCAGCCTCGGAACCATCGGAGAGCTTGATCTTCTGCAGGATGGTGGCCTTGTCAACCTCGGATTTAGGATCATGTTGAAGCCACAACCTACCGCCGTGATAGTCCCCGAAAGCGACAGTCCAGCACTGCGAACCGGAAAGATTATGTGCATCTTTGTGTGGTCCCACATGACAATTGTGACAAAGCTGAAAGCTGCTCCACTGACCCTGCGCGCCATGATGTTTCATAAAAGCATTGATATACTTGGAGATCTGATGGAACGCAAAAGTCTTTTGGATGATGCCGTAGTGGTTCCCATGGGAGTAGGCTCCTAGGGCAATGCTGTCGGTCCCTTTGTTGATGTTACGCTTTCTCAGTGATTGAGCTCGACTGCAAACCGATCGCACGATTTTTGCACATGTGCTGAAGCTGAAGTCCTTGGCAATAAGCCTATCCTTGGCAAAATGCTCGAGGGATGCTCCTTTGATCTCGTCCTCAGCAGGAACCTCGCGTGCCTCATAGAAAATCTCAGGAGTGGCCGCCTCCATACGTTCCCCCTGATCGGTAGTCATGGCAACAAAGGTTTCCCCAGGCTCCTCCAAAGGCTCATCGAAGCCCTCATCGAGCTCTTCATCCTCACTTAAAGGCCGTGTTTGTCCTTGAGCGCAGCGAGACGACCCATCAAGGCATTGATCTCGTCCTTCACTTCCTTGGGCACATCCTGATCCATGCTCCCGGGGGTCGCCTGAGATCCCTCCGCTGTGGCTCGCTTTTTGGGCGAGGCCTTCGGTAGCTGCGCCGCCTCCTCTCGATAGCCAACCTTCTGGTTCATCCGCACCCCTGTTTCCGTCAGCTCCGACCAATGGCTCTCCCAGCACGAACTGCTCTCCGACGGCAAGGGGACCTTGGGGTCCAGCTCCGGATCGTACATCACCTGCGGCTCCGGCTCGAAGATGCTTTTGGCGTAATTCGCCAAGCTCACCAGATCCGGACCCGAGTTTTCCGTCCCGCGCGCCTGGACTTCCTTCATCGCCCATTCCAAGTACTGGGATGGCACTTCCTTGAACAATTTGCCGCGGTGTCTGCCAAACGTGACCACAGCCTCCGCCTTGTCCCGCGTGACCAGATCTCGAATCATCATCTGGAGCTGCCCTTTCGTGGCGCGATGGGGAACCGGAATCTCGAGCTCCTGCGCCTGGGACTTCAATTGGTCGAGAGTCATCGACGCAAGACCGCGGGGTACACTGGAGGTCTCTCCGGAGTCCTTCTTGGCATCGATGATCACTTGACGGATTTCCCCCACTGACCAAGAGGAGTGGATTGTGAGGTTCAGGCGGAGAGCCTCGCTCGTCAGCTCTGTCTTTGTCATTTTCCACAGAGGCTTGGTTGTCGCTGAGGAGGCCATCGGGAGGTTCAGGCGCCGGAACACAAGGCGGGGTGCCGTAAAGCAACGGCCTACTAGAGGCTCGAGAAAACACGGTCCTGCCAACCCAAAGAACGTCTTGCTGCGCATCAAGGTGATTCTGCCACAGGTCATGGACGGGCCCCAAACCGACAAGCGAACTGCATGAGACACTGGATGTACTCCGAATTTCTCCTAGCATGCCAAGGAGCTTCTCCTTCACGGCAGTTTGCGATGTAATCCATTTCGTCGGATCGAACAATCCTCGTCGGGGAACAACGTGGATCCGAATGAAGGAGTTAGGGGTTTCAATCCAAAAGTCCTTCGAGATCGGAGTCTTGCTCCACCAAGTGGCAAAGGTCTGAGGATTCAGGGGCTCACAACAAAGAAGATTCCGCACGCAATCATTGATCTTCTTCGGGTAGAACAGATTGCGTCCTGGAGGTTCCGCAGGAGTTTGGGCTTCACTGTTCAGGCTATTGCTAGGAGCGACTGGACTTGCATGCGCACTCGGACCAGAGTTGACCATATAAGACATGTATTGCGACTCCGCCGAAGGAACAATGATCACCTCGGAGCCTGCCCACTGTTGGGGCGAAGGCCACTTGAGTCCCGGTACACGTCTCGGTGACACTGGGATCGCTGGGTGGCCGCTGTCAGTGGTCAACAGGGTATACTTCTCAATCCCAAGATTCCTGAACTTTGCCGAATGTTCCTCAACGTCGTAGATCATCCCAAGCTTGCTCAAAGCACTGCGACTCATTAACAAAGGGACTTCACCTTGGACCACGGAGGCCTTCAACATAAAAGTCCGGTTCCTGATCTGGATCATGATGGTGGCCGAGTAGCTTGCATGGAAAAGCTTCGAGGCTCCGAATCGGAAATCATCGTGGCAATCCAAAAACTGAACTTCAATGCCAACCTCCTTTGCAAGCTTCACGTACGACTCAAGCCAACCCTGTCCCATGACTGATTTCGAACACGCGGTGTCTGTAATCGCCAGAAGTCGATCCCCACCGAGATCCCCAACCATGTAGGCGACCTCGACAACTACAGGAACCGTCCCGGAGCAGACCGAGGTAGCATGCACCTGGTGATCCTGCGGATTCCTGGGCTTAGCAGGAGCGTTCCCGGATTGATTGTTGGGACATTCCGGGTCTTTGTGCCAATGCCCGCGGCGGCCGCAGCCAGCGCAGTAACTGCGCAGCTTAGCCTGGGCCAAACGATCATCGAGCTGGAGTCGAGATCCCTCATCAGCAGGCTTTCTCTTAAGGGATTCGGGGTCAACTCCTCGGGCTTTAACGACATCACGATAGCGGGCTTTGGCTGATTCCTGGGCAACATAGGCTTCATGAAGTTCCACCGCCGCTGCCTCAGAGAGAAGTTCCTCGGTGTCGTCACCTTGATCATGCTCTGCGGCGTTCCTGGTTGCGTCGTCCTCATCGATCACCGCCATAAAGGTGCTCTTAGTCCCTTTACCTTCGCCCTTAGGTTTCGGAACCCATGGACCTCGAAGCGACTTCTCATGTAGGATGGCAGCCTTCTGCAACTTAGCCGTGCTATAGTCATTGCCAACTGAAGCCAGCAAAGAAAGCTCTTCTGTGTTGCTAAGCCCGAGAGCATTCAGGTAAGCCCACGCCCTAGCTACCTCCGGCAACTTGCAATCAATCTCCAGAAGTCTCGAATGTGCACGATCGAAAACCGAGTTGAATTCCCTGATTGACTGCCCTGACTGTCTCTTCATCTTCTTGAAGAAAAGGGTGAGCGTTTCTGCGATGCGGCTCACTTCAACCTCCTGATATCGCTCCCTGATCCAGGACTTGAAGATCTGAAGCCCTCTCTCACTAGCCAGGTCCTCCACGTTGAGCTCTTCAGACTCAACCCATGCTCTACCGCTAAGGTTTTGATAAAGTAGAAGTGCTTGCTGCGACGGTGCCGTACGTGTAACCTTGCTCCAAGCTTCAACTTGTCTGAGATAGGAACGCGCTGTCAAACCTAGCTCATCCCCACTCCCTGATGCGCCAAAAGAAGGAACCGCCATCTTTTCGCTGAAAGAACCTTTTGCATCCGACTTGGCAGAAGCTTCCGAAGCCAGGGAGCCATTCCTGCTCTGATGTGAAAAGGTTCTGGTTGCCTCGGTGCTCATCTGAGTGGATGCTGTAACCCTCTGCGAGTCCTGGGAAACTTCATCGGTGCTTGAAGGGTCGTTGGAGGCGGGATGATCGTCTGAGGTCTGATCTTGTTCGCGTTGTGCTTGGTGCTCGACATCATTGTTTCGGTGATACTGACTCCAAGGATCGCTGCCACCCCAGGATCCCTGATGCTGTTGGGCACTACGGTAGTTGTTGTAGTAACCCCATGGCTGCCAGGACCATCGGTCTCCCGAACCCCAGTTCTGACTCCCCCAGGAATCCCAACCGGAGCTATGCTGACCACTATAGTCCCACTGCCAATCATCCCACGAAGAATTGTTGCTCGGTTGCCAGCTCTGGGCTCCGTCGTCTGCAGATGCCAAAAGAGGCGGGTCGTCGTCTGGAGCCGAGCCGGAAGGCTCTGTCGTCGTCGGCGCCACCATGTGGCCACCGGAAGGGGCAAACCCAAAACCCCTTCCTTGGAACCCCAACAGACACAGACAAGCAACTCACACAGCACAGAACGTACAAGCAACTCACAAGACAACTAGAATCCCCGGCGCGGCCTGGGCTCCGCTACCAATGAGAAACCACAAACGGAACAAGGAGAACCACACGACACTAGCCCAGGACCCGGAAGTACCCCGAACTCCGAAGACACCCCGGGCCCCACCTACCAGAAGGGCAGCAGCCCTTTTTGCGCACACCAAGCCAAAAGCCTTCGCAGGTACACTTCCTCGATTTGTGCGTGTTCTGGTTTCACATTAAGTGAATGAATTCGTCAGATACAAGTTCGGCTTTATTTAATAATAATTCAAAAAAATCATAAGGGAAATTATATAAGAAATTATAAGAGGAAGTATAAGAGAAATCAAGATTACTGGCAGGAATAGCATTCTGTATTCAAGAGCCTTATACGGCCTCTCTTTCCTTTCCATGGCCATCAAGGGCCGGCCTAGGACTGGGCCTGGAGCCTCGGGGTTGCTCGTGAACCCTGCACTGCCAGGACCCTGGTCTGGCCGTCCTCTTCCTTCGCCACAGGCTCCTTGCTGGGACCCTACTAGGACGTCAGTTCACGGCTTAGGACTGAGCGTCGGAGCTGTGTAGGGCCGCTCTCCGAGAGCCATTTTGGTGCTTGTTCGGAGCTGTGTAGGGCCGCTCTCCGAGAGCAGCGGCGGCGGCGGGCCTGCCACCACTGGGCCGCTCTCCGAGAGCCATTTAAGCTTTCTCAACCCCGAGGTTGGTGCTTGTTCGGAGCTCTGTCTCGGGAGCTGCAATTCAGGATCCTTGCTCAAGCAGTGTGAGCACTCGGCACTGGCCACATCGTGGCAGGTTCATAGCTCTGTTCGGAGCTGTGTAGGGAGCTGTGATCGCTCGGCACTGGCCACGTGTGGCGGAGCTGTAGCACTGTTCTCCTTCGTTGCATCAAGCGTCCGGCTTCCGGTACACCGAGCTCTAGCCTCCTTAAGTGACCGCCCATTACCCTGGTCAGCGGCGGCGGCGGGCACCACTGGGCCGCTCTCCGAGAGCCATTTGAGCGTGCTGCTCTGCACTTGGTGCTTGTTCGGAGCTGTGCACTTGCGGATCACCACGGGCCGCGGCTTCGTGGGGGATCCCCGCTTTTGCTCTCCGAGAGCCATTGGGGTTGCTCGTGACCTCCAATTTGCCTTGCCGATGAGGGCCTCGCTTTTGCTCTCCGAGAGCCATTGGCATAGCTCTGTTCGGAGCTGTGTAGGGAGCTGTGATCGCTCGGCACTGAGCGTCAAACTTGTTCGGAGCTTTGTAGAAAATTTCGGCGGCAGAAGCGAGGTCTAACCCTGTTCGGAGCTGTGTAGGGAGCTGTGATCGCTCGGCACTGGCCACGTGTGGCGGAGCTGTAGCACTGTTCTCCTTCGTTGCATCAAGCGTCAAACTTGTTCGGAGCTTTGTAGAAAATTTCGGCGGCAGAAGCGAGGTCTAGACCCTGCCGTGGCCGTCCTAGGCGCTCACCAGCGCTCATTGGGGCCAAGGTCACTTCGCCACACAGGCGCCTGCCCACCACTGGTTTTGCAGCGTGGATCCCTTAAGGGGTGATGTTGCCATTGCGAACTCTGCACTTGCGGATCGCCACGGCGGCTTCGTGGGGGATCCCTTAAGGGGTGCGTAGCGCCTGGCGGCGGCGGCGGCAGCGGCGGCGGCGGCGGCGGCGGCGGCGGTGGCGGCTCAGAGCGGCGGCGGCGGCTGAGCGGCGGCGGCGGCGGCGGCGGAGGCCTTGCGTGGCGGTAGAAACCTGTTCGGAGCTGTGTATAGGGAGCTGTGATCGCCGGCGGCGGCGGCGGAGGCCTTGCGTGGCGCTAGTGTGTAGGGAGCTGTGATCGCCGGCGGCGGCGGCGGGGGCGGCGGCAGCGGCGGCGGCGGCGGCAGCGGCGGCGGCGGCGGCAGCGGCGGCGGCGGCGGCCTTGCGTAAACGGGGCGGCGGCAGCGGCGGCGGCGGCGGCAGCGGCGGCGGCGGCGGCGGCCTTGCGTAAACCCTGTTCGGAGCTGTGTAGGGAGCTGTGATCGCCGGCGGCGGCGGCGGCGGCTGCGGCGGCGGCGGCGGCGGCGGCGGTGGCGGCTCAGAGCGGCGGCGGCGGCTGAGCGGCGGCGGCGGCGGCGGCGGAGGCCTTGCGTGGCGGTAGAAACCTGTTCGGAGCTGTGTAGGGAGCTGTGATCGCCGGCGGCGGCGGCGGAGGCCTTGCGTGGGCGGCGGCGGCGGCGGAGCGGACCGCTGCCCGACTAGGACGTCCTCGTCTGCCTGCGTCAAAAATCGTTCCGCACGGCCAGGTTAGTTGCTCGTGACCTCCGATTTACTTAAAGCTTGGGTTGGGTGCTTGGTCGGAGCTGTGTAGGGAGCTGCAATTTACTTAAAGCTTGTCTTGGCGGCAGAAGCGAGCTCCGATGAGGGCCTCGCTATTGCCCTATGTTGCCATTGCGGACTCTGCACTTGCGGATCGCCACGGCGGCTTCGTGGGGGATCCCTTAATTTGCTCTCCGAGAGCCATTGGGGTTGCTCGTGACCTCCAATTTGCCTTGCCGATGAGGGCCTCGCTTTTGCTCTCCGAGAGCCATTGGCATAGCTCTGTTCGGAGCTGTGTAGGGAGCTGTGATCGCTCGGCACTGGCCACGTGTGGCGGAGCTGTAGCACTGTTCTCCGGAACCAGGATCCTTGCACCCACCCCCACCATGGGGTCCCAGCGGACCCTGATGCTCTTCCTCTTTCACTTGCACCCATGCAATTCACTTGCATCAACCAGAAGACTAAAACTCGCCTCCTTAAGTGAATGAATTCGTCAGATACAAGTTCGGCTTTATTTAATAATAATTCAAAGAAATCATAAGGGAAATTATATAAGAAATTATAAGAGGAAGTATAAGAGAAATCAAGATTACTGGCAGGAATAGCATTCTGTATTCAAGAGCCTTATACGGCCTCTCTTTCCTTTCCATGGCCATCAAGGGCCGGCCTAGGACTGGGCCTGGAGCCTCGGGGTTGCTCGTGAACCCTGCACTGCCAGGACCCTGGTCTGGCCGTCCTCTTCCTTCGCCACAGGCTCCTTGCTGGGACCCTACTAGGACGTCAGTTCACGGCTTAGGACTGAGCGTCGGAGCTGTGTAGGGCCGCTCTCCGAGAGCCATTTTGGTGCTTGTTCGGAGCTGTGTAGGGCCGCTCTCCGAGAGCAGCGGCGGCGGCGGGCCTGCCACCACTGGGCCGCTCTCCGAGAGCCATTTAAGCTTTCTCAACCCCGAGGTTGGTGCTTGTTCGGAGCTCTGTCTCGGGAGCTGCAATTCAGGATCCTTGCTCAAGCAGTGTGAGCACTCGGCACTGGCCACATCGTGGCAGGTTCATAGCTCTGTTCGGAGCTGTGTAGGGAGCTGTGATCGCTCGGCACTGGCCACGTGTGGCGGAGCTGTAGCACTGTTCTCCTTCGTTGCATCAAGCGTCCGGCTTCCGGTACACCGAGCTCTAGCCTCCTTAAGTGACCGCCCATTACCCTGGTCAGCGGCGGCGGCGGGCACCACTGGGCCGCTCTCCGAGAGCCATTTGAGCGTGCTGCTCTGCACTTGGTGCTTGTTCGGAGCTGTGCACTTGCGGATCACCACGGGCCGCGGCTTCGTGGGGGATCCCCGCTTTTGCTCTCCGAGAGCCATTGGGGTTGCTCGTGACCTCCAATTTGCCTTGCCGATGAGGGCCTCGCTTTTGCTCTCCGAGAGCCATTGGCATAGCTCTGTTCGGAGCTGTGTAGGGAGCTGTGATCGCTCGGCACTGGCCACGTGTGGCGGAGCTGTAGCACTGTTCTCCGGAACCAGGATCCTTGCACCCACCCCCACCATGGGGTCCCAGCGGACCCTGATGCTCTTCCTCTTTCACTTGCACCCATGCAATTCACTTGCATCAACCAGAAGACTAAAACTCGCCTCCTTAAGTGAATGAATTCGTCAGATACAAGTTCGGCTTTATTTAATAATAATTCAAAGAAATCATAAGGGAAATTATATTATAAATTATAAGAGGAAGTATAAGAGAAATCAAGATTACTGGCAGGAATAGCATTCTGTATTCAAGAGCCTTATACGGCCTCTCTTTCCTTTCCATGGCCATCAAGGGCCGGCCTAGGACTGGGCCTGGAGCCTCGGGGTTGCTCGTGCCAGGACGGGGGTCTGGGGGCCCTAGGGCCCTAGGCCTAGGGCCCTGGGGCCTAGGGCCCTGGGGCCAGCTCCTGGGCCTGGGCCCTGCTGGGGCCTTGGGCCCTGGGGCCCAGGGGAGCAGCCTGCACAGGACCCAGGCTCCTTGGGCTGGGACCCTAGGACGGCAGGGCCCAGGGTGCAGCCTCGGGGTTGGTCTGGCCGTCCTCACAGCCCATGGTCAGCTGGGCCGCTGCAACGGTGCTTGTTCGCCGCTCTCCAGAGCCAGACCCTCGTCTGGCCGTCCTCACAGCCCAGAGCCAGGAGCTGTCTACAAAAGCTGTGATCGTTCTCCGGAACCAGGATCCTTGCACCCACCCCCACCATGGGGTCCCAGCGGACCCTGATGCTCTTCCTCTTTCACTTGCACCCATGCAATTCACTTGCATCAACCAGAAGACTAAAACTCGCCTCCTTAAGTGAATGAATTCGTCAGATACAAGTTCGGCTTTATTTAATAATAATTCAAAGAAATCATAAGGGAAATTATATTATAAATTATAAGAGGAAGTATAAGAGAAATCAAGATTACTGGCAGGAATAGCATTCTGTATTCAAGAGCCTTATACGGCCTCTCTTTCCTTCGCCACAGGCTCCTTGCTGGGACCCTACTAGGACGTCAGTTCACGGTAGGACTGAGCGTCAAGCTTGACGTGGCGAGAGTCGCTCCCGGCCGTGGGCCCTTGGGGACCTCCTTCACTTGCACACCCTAAAGCTTGTCTTGGCGGCAGAAGCGAGCTCC